AGCAGTTACCATCAATACTGAAACCCTAAAACAGTTTTTTGAAATTATGATTTTAACAACATTTTTTTACAATGAAAATTTTTGAGACTTTTAATTAAAAAATAGATAACAGTAAAATCGTTAGAGATATTTTGATGAAATTTTCAGGATTTATTGTTTAATATTCATATTTTAAAAAATAATTCAAAATTTTAAATTATTTATTTATTATCATATTTTTAATTAACTTTTAAATAGACAAATGAAAATTTTAATGACTTCTGCCTCAAATTATAAATTTTGTTTTATTTCAGTTACATACATGCACTTAAGTTAAATATTCTGCAAGAAAATTCCACTGCCCGCTATTAGTTTAAACAATATGAATTTATTTATCCCCGAGCGCGAGCCCTTTCAGTGAAGTTCGGCATCAGTATTAATAAATAATAAACTCTCGTTTACAATAAAAAACAATATTATTTAATTTTTCTAATTCAATAACTATAAAAAATGGATATTATATTTGATTTCAATATAAATAAATACTGTAAAAATGATCAAATAATTAAATCAAACATAAATGTCCCCTAGCGAGATACTTATTTTATTGTTTTTTTTTTAATTATCTCTTTTTTTATATATAAACGTAAATAAAACATGAATTTTACAAGCCATTTGTTAAAAAAGTTAATTAATACGAGGAGGTTATGGATTTAATCTCCGTTATAGGAACTGGGAATACCATTGAAAACCTACTTTTTCAAGAGCTCATGAGCAAGAATAAGAACCTGATGAACTACAATGGTACATTAATTAAGAAAATTGAATTTCTTAATGAAAAAGTAGCCAGTCTAGAAAACCAGGTAAAAACCGCCAAAAAAACTGAGGTAAACACACCAAAAATTTCAAATAACATAACCAATATACCGGCATCCTCGAATAACACTACTAACACAAAGATGGCATCACCTCTCAACTATGCTGAAAATGTAAAGAAAACACTGAAGAAAGCTACACCGCTAACAGAACAGTTACCTACCATACACACACCTGTAGCAAAACAAACTCCTGAAACTGTAATGCCGGTACCAGCTGATAAAAACATAACCAAAAATGTCAACAATGATGATTTTACTACAAAAACTTACAAAAAGCCAAGAAAAAATACCGGAATAATCGGGAAAAGTACTATATCCACAATAAAAGGGGTTGCAAAGACAGCTTCTATTTATGTAACGAAATTAGATACCAATGTAACCCAGAAATTTCTGGGTGAATACATAGAAACGTTGGAATTCAAAAACATAAGTGTAAAACCTGGGTTTTCTAAGCATCCAAATTTGTACAAGTCCTTTATTGTCACTGCCTACAAGACTTGGAAAATCTAAAAAATCCTAAAATTTGGCCAGGTGCTAGAATTGATATTTTTTTCTTCAAACTGATAACAGACAAAGACAGTCCAAAATCAGGAAAACCATTTGTCACTCCTCACTTATCTTTTAATTTATTTTACCACAATATGCAATGCCTGCGAACAAAAGTTAATAAGGTAGAATGAAACTTGGTTAACGGAAACTGAAACGGAATATTTAAAGATTGGCATGATGAAGTTGTTGAAATGCTGGATAACATAATGACCTACGAGAAACTTGAAGACTTGAATTCACTATCAATTGAACAGCATTGTGAAATCTCTGCTGTTTTAATCCCAGTTTTTAACTTTAACTGTCATGACTGTCTACAGGAGTTCGATTTTATCCTTCAACGGCTGTACATCGCTCCATGAAAAAGTCTGAAAATAGTTTACTTTGACCCAGGAAGGATAAAATGGGGTTCCCGGTATAGAAATATACCGGTATTTCTCGACAATATCGCAAGCTTTGATCTTTCAGCGAGGTATTTGGTGATTTGTGCAATCTATTTAGTGGATGTTTCAAGATTTGAAATTCCACATGTCCGTGAGTGGACGGCTTCGAGAAGCTCAAGGACGTAAAAACTAGTAACTGGGCAGTAAGAGCCTAATTGGCTCAAGTCCAATTCTCTCGAAAGAGAGAATAAAAAGTATAGAAGAAGAACTGTCTACAGGTCACCAAACCCGATAGGAAGTTTTGGGATTTTCATGGAAAAGGTATGTAACAAGGTCAACTTTAAGAGGGGTAATATTTTGATCGTGGGCGATTTTAATGTATGCTTCAAAAATGTAAATAGGCAGGATGATGACATTGATGCATCAAGATTAATTGACCTGCTGAATGGTTTTAGTCTATAAAAACTTGTTGACTTGCCTACCAGAAATGCCAACACAATTGATAATGCTTTCACAAACATAATAAATACTCATGTTGATGTTATCGAAACACATATTTCTGATCATAGGGGGTTAGCAATTGAACTAAAATTCGACTTAAAATCTAAACATACAAAAGTTCCCATACTTACTAGACCTATTACAAATAGGAGCAGAAGTATACTTATTGATAATCTCTCAACATACGACTGGTCTCCAATGATATGTACATAAGAAAATTTCGTAACAGCTCAAAATCTAGTTGGAAACTAGTAAATTCTATTCGAAAGCCAGATAGGACAGAAAATATCCGCTCAGTTTCACCTAACACATTCAATGATTTTTTTAGTAATATTGCTAATAACATTGTTAACACGATTCCCCCCACAAATGCTGATCCAATTGGTTTAATGTTGAATGTTTCTTTTCCGGATGGTCTTGCTTTTAGTTTCAGGGAGGTATCACTCATTGAAGTGCGCGAAACCATAGTAAGTCTTAAAAACAGCAGGAGCAAGGATCTTTATGGCCTAACCACTGACATAATAAAGTGTACTAAAAATCAGATTTTTACTCCACTTACAAAATGGATAAATCAAGGCATTACTTCGAGCATTTTTCCAAGAGTGCTCAAAAAAGCGGTTATCATACCTATTCATAAAAAGGGCAACATAAATGAACCTAATAACTATATACCAATAGCATTCTTGCCAGTGTTTTCAAAAATCTTTTAAAAGCTTCTGGTAGCTCAGGTTGTCGAACACTTTGAAAATAATAACTTGTTCTCAAAGCATCAATTCGGATTTCGTCGAAGCTCGTCTTCAACAAGCGCTATTATGTCTTTTGTAGATACCATAATCGAATGCTAAGAACAGCGTGAATTTTCTGCAGCCAGTTTGTTTTACCTCAGTAAGGCCTTCGATTGTGTCCCACCCCTTATACTGCTGGGAAAGCTTTACTTTTACGGATTCTCCCCGAGCACTTGCCGCTTGATTATGTCTTATCTGACTGGTAGAACGCAGTGTGTGACTGTTGATGGTGCTGTGTCAGAGAAGGTTTTTGTAGATATTGGGGTGCCCCAAGGCTCTCATTTTGGCCCCGTTCTCTTTCTTATATTTATAAATGACCTCCCTTGATAATAACAACTACTCGTGAGTGCCAGATTCTTGGGCTTGTATATTGACCACAAACTACTTGGGAAGGAACAGGGAGAGCGGGTTGCTGGCGTGATTGACAAGGGTTGCTATCTTCTACGCGGTCTATGGGTCCCTGTCCGGGGCTGTTCTTCGTATGGTTTACTTTTCTGTAATCCAATCTTCCTTATCTTATGGTATTTTGGCTTGGGGCCACAATTGTTGGCGGGCTGGGGTGCAGGGACGACTGCAGAGGGAGTTTTGTCTGGCTTCGCATTCTGACGTTTACTTGTCTTTTCATACTGGAATGTCTGCTTCACATAAAAAGAAACCTAGGTAACTTTAGAACCCACCAGAACTTTCACTCCTATAGCACCAGTAATGCGAGCAATATTTATCAAACTATCCTGAGACTGAAAGTAACACGTCCGCGCCTTACCATTTTTGATTTTTAAATCTAAAATAAAAAATTACCTTCTCTTGAAAGCTTTTTGGAGCTTTGACCAGTACCTTTTAAATGACTTTCATGACTTATAATTTTTTATTTCTTTATTCTTTTTTGCTAAATAGTTGTATTATAAATTTGGGTGTTGTATGTTTGGTGTTCTTGGATTTTCTTGAACATTTTTCATTTTAACTTTATTTTAAATTTTTAAACATTATATATTGTTTGTTCTATCTCCATTTTTTTTTAACAATTTATGCTGACCATATCACTTCTTAAACTCATATTGTTTTATGTGCATTAAAAAAAACATTAAATTCTTAATCGTTTGGCATTAAAATATGTAAAATTATACTGTACTATCTTAAATAACTAAGAATGGCTACTTGTTGCTATTTCGTGGGTTGAGTATTATATTGTTCTATAAATCCAAAATGAAATTGTTGGGGAATGGCGTTTAAATATTTCAGGCTTATTCTAATACCGTTTGTAAAGATTTTTATAATTTTAATTACTGGTTTTGGACTCATATCCTTAAGAATTAAAAAATGTATTGTCCCTATTTGAACTTATTTCTTCCAATACTGGGTTTTACAAAATAAACAATTTTTGATAGAACTTTTTTTTTTATTGAAAACGAAAATTTTACACAAAACATCAGATTTTGTTCTAACAGCATACAAAATTCTTTAAAACTAAAAGTTTTTAGTTCTAAAGAATTCCAAAACTTTAGGGTTCTAAGAAGTATCCCTTAAATAAGAACATACCTACGTATTCTTTTTTTTTAATTTCACCGCACAACCACGTGATTATTACTTGCATACAAAACTGAAACAGCAAAAATTATATTGTTCTAACAGATCAAAATTCTCTTCTCTCATTGGTTGGTCTGTTAGGATATTATAATTTTAAACCGTTTTTAAATAAGTGCGATAGAACAATTTAATAATGCTTTTTTTTTAGTTTGTGTATTAAATTAAACAGGCATTTTTATATACATAGAACCGAAATTTTATGTACTATTTTTCTATCAAAAAAGCCGATTTCGCGCCAAAAGTGCTGTTAGAACATTATAATACTCAACCCACGATTTGTGTATTTACCAGTGTCCATAATTTGAGCCAGTTCTAATGCAGACTTTATCATCTATGGTTAATAAATGAATAATTTCTTAAAAACAAACTTAAGGTAAGTGTTGGATAACAAATTTATTAATCTCATCTTAGGTTTAAAGTCGTAAATGGCTTTTGAATGTTGAAATGGATATAGAACATTGTAATACTAACTTGTTATCGTTTACAGTGCACATAGTAAGTTTAATGGTGATCCTGTGGAAATGATGACATCAAGTTCTGAAAATGTAGCCCTTCAAAATTTAGATGTGGAAGTCCATTTAGCTACACTAGCTCTAAAGTTAGAAGAAACTAAACCTTTTCCTAATAATAATAGTCCCACTACGAGCTGCACTTCACCTTCCTTAAATGAAAAATTTTTGGATGCACATTTTACTGACAATGATGCACCTGAGGTGGATCCTGATTTTGCACCACCTGTTTCTGCTTTGAATTCTGATTCATCTAATGAAAGTGAAGGTTCTGGTGAAAGTTCGGATGGAAGCTTGCAATATTATAGAGAAGAAGAAAATGATGACGACGAGCCAGTAGAAAAGTCTAGTATTTTATGTAAGTTTTTTTACAGGAAAAAGTTGACTAGAAAAAGAAAGAGGAACAGTGAAGAATGGAAACAAAATATTTGAAGAAAAGCTTGTCAAGCAGGCAAACCATATACTGATGTGAAAGGAAATTTGAAGCCTGGCAGAGAACTGATAAGTATTAAAGAATGCACAAAATGTCGATTTAAATGCTCCACGCTAATCAGCCCCGAGAACAGAAAAGAAATTCACAAGGATTTTTGGAATCTAAATGATGATCAGAAGCTTCACTTTTTCAATAAAAATGTGCAGCGTCTACCAAAAGCTCTCAAACGAACCCAATAGATAAGAGATTTGAAGTCCTTCTCTTATTTTTATTATTTTCATGTTGAAGAAAATAAAATTCGCGTAAGCAAAACTTATTTTTTATCCACATTAGACGTAAGCCAAAGAAGATCCAATATAAGTTCAACTCCCACAAGCTATGAGAAGGGAAAACATACTAAAAAAGTAATAAGAGAAGACACCAAAAACATCGCTAGAAAGCACATTGACTCCTTTCCTCGTATAGAGTCACATTATTGTAGAAATGACAAAAAAAAATATTTTGAAGCGAGTCTAAATCTGAGGAAAATGTATGAGCTATATTTGTAGCACTGCAAGGAAAAAAAATCGAAACGGTTAAAGAAAATTTTTATAGATACATTTTTAATTATGAATATAACATATCATTTGTATCTCCTAAAAAAGATAGGTGTGATTTGTGTGAAAAAACCAAAACTAAGCAAAAAAGGTCCGAAGCAGGAACGCCTATCAACGCAGATAAACCAACCGAAACCGATGAGAACTTTCTTACACATATAGAAATAAAAAATTCAGCGTGTATCACTTACAGCATCGTGATTTTTATGAATACCAAACTGTTTCAAAAAATGAAACTTTAAAAATATCCGATACTCAGCAATTCGACAAATTAAATACATAAGGAGTAAGCCTATGTTTATTTACTCAAACGAAAAGTATGACGACAACTTCAAATGTGAAAGTATTCTATCAATACCTCGAACAAGAAAAAACTCTTCTTCAATATCTCAACCATTAACCAATACACTAAAACCTATAGCCATGCCTAAATTTTGTCTCTTAACTAAAGATAAAGTCCAGGATTTGAAAAAAAATGTTTAAATTCATGGCTGCCACAGATAAAGCATATATTGAGACTATTTTCAAGGAAATGAAGTAGTTTATATCTATAAAGCTTCTAAAGATTACTTAATTTATTTCTTTTACACCCAATTCCGATTTTTCCAAGGAAAGTTGCATTAAAAAATTGGAGATGGAACCATATCTATTTAAAAACAGGAAAATTTCAGAAATTTTGTGTTCCATCTCCAATATTGCAAAGTTAGTAATTTTCGTCTTTTTTTTTAATTTGCTTACCGTAAGGTTTCATTTCCGTATAGCTTAAGTGCACACATTACCTCAAAAACACGTTTAAATTCAGGTAAATAAGTGCTTAATTTTTGAGATTTGGATACACAGATATTCAACATGTTTTAAAAAATGGACATAGAACATTATAATTCTCAGCTGGCGATGTGTAAATACTCTTTTGTGATCTTTAGCACGAATAAACTTACTTACTTACTAAACACAAGAATTCTAATTTTGTAGATTTGCCTTTAACTATTTTATTAATTAATTAATTTTATAATTTTTATTAATATTTATTATATTATGGGCCGGGTAAATAAATGCTGTAAACCTTTTAAAAATTCCGTGATAAATTCAGAAAAAATTACTTATGACATAAGCTCAGTTCATTGTTTAATTTAAAGTTAATTGAAAAATAAATTCGGAGCTAATAATATTAAAAAATTTCTAACTTTTCTGACTTAGCAGGTTCATAGTATAAAATAAATATAATTTTGCAAATTTAGTTAATCACAAGAACAACTTTAATGTTGAAGCTGAATGGCTGAACTTTTTCGCGACATCTCACAGTAAATGAGCATGTGATGACTTATGAGTAAGCATGAAAAGACAAGATTATCGTGCTAGTCTACAACCCGACAATGATAAGCATAAGTCATTATTTAAATTTGCTCTTAAGAGGAACATGCTTCTTATGAACAAAAATACAAACTACTTTTTCAACAATCTGTTACTATCAAAATTACCCGGCAGTTTCACTATTTATATAATCTTTATAAAGATATAGAAGGTGTATCACTTCAGTGTAAGCTTTTTTGGGAAGATACAAACTATTACAATTTTTAAGAAAAAATAAAAAGTAACATGCTGCGGGGAAATTTATTATTCGTTTAATTATGTGTTAATTATTATCGTCTTTATTTATAAATACAAACAAATATTATGTCTATTTGTTATAAATTATATTTAAATAACATTGTTTCCTATTATAATAGACAGTTTATTTTCTATAAATACTAAATGCAGCGGTGGCCGCGTCAGCGCGCTGTACCGACAGCGCTAGCGCTCGTGGATAAATAAATTCATATTGTTTAAACTAAAAGCGGGCAGTGGAATTTTCTTGAGAATAATTAACTTAAGTGTACAATGCATGTAACTGAAATAAAACAAATTTATAATTTGAGGGAGAAGTCATTAAAATTTGTATTTGTTTATTTAAAAGTTAATTAAAAATATGATTATAAATAAATAATTTAAAATTTTGAATTGTTTTTCAATTGTAAATATTAAACAATAAATTCTGAAAATTTCATTAAAATATCTCTAACGGTTTTTCTGTTATATATTTTTAATTAAAAGTCTCTAAAATTTTCATTGTAAAAAAAATTGTTCTTAAAATGAAAATTTTGGGTTTCACTAGTGAGGGCGACTGCTTTATATTAAAATATATTAATTTAAATTCCACGATCAAGTGGGAAATGGGGGTCCACTTGACGTGACCTTCCTCTTAAGAAAATATTTTTTGAATCCTTCGATTTCTTTTATTAGGTACTCTAATTGCAAAATATTATCACATAGTATTAAATTTTTTACATGGGAAATGTTAAAGGTACAAAAAGTGCCCAAGTTAGAAATTCTAACAGGAATTCCAATAAATAAAACTGTCGCTTTAACATTTCCCAAGTTGAATGTTTGAATATACCGGCGTTAAAATCTCAAATTTTTCTATGTAAATCAAATTTTACCTCTTAAAAATAGACTAACAATCGATATAGAAGCAGTTTTTCATAGTAAAAGGGAATAGAATGTTTTATGAGCACTGTACGCAAAATCCATTGAAAGGTTATAATCGCACTTAGTAAAGCACTGTGAGGGGGTGCTTCACAATGGCTGTCACAGGTATATTTCCTGGTTATTATTATGTAGATATAAAAACAACTTTGAAAGTTTCACGTGATTTATTTAATGTTTGACAATTGTTTCGTGACACAGTGACTTCTTCAGAATTTATTACCTGGCCAGTAGTTCCTTTGATGGCCAATTCTTTTTAGTTAAAAAGAAAGATAGATCTGATCGTTTTTGCGTAGATTATCGCGAATTAAACAATATTACAGCATCTGCCACTGCCTTTTCTTGCCAATCAATCTGATAGACTTGTTGGCCCCAATATTTTTTTAGATTAAATATGGCAAGTGGTTTCTTTTAGATCCTTGTTCACCCAGACTTTATTAAAAGTACCGCTTTCGTTACCCCAGATGGGCAATATGGTTTAAGGTATTCACCATCTGTTTGCCAACTAGCTGTTATGAAATAATTTTGCGTATTCTCTTGTTATTGTCTATATATGGACGATATTATAATAATTTCTCATACAATACAGCAGGAATTAAAAATAATTCAATTAGACCTCGAAGTTCTTACAAAAAAGTACAAAATATCTTGGTTATGAAATTAAAGCAAGCGAACTCCGAACTTTTAACTGCCAATTGTCTGTTGTCTGTTGGTGATGAATAACCCAAAGTTAATATTTCTGACGTAAGAAATTGCGCAAGTCAAAATATAAAAGTGGTACATTGTATGATGAGTCAAGATTTGATAATAATTCTAGAGACACCGTAGTTAAAAGAGACATCGTAGCTGAAGGTGTTGAAAGAGTCAAGAGTTCAAGGTCTTGAAGGAGACATCGTAGCTGAAGGTATTGCAAGAGAAAACGAACCTCAAGGTGTTGAAAGAGACATCGTAGCTGAATCTGTTGCAAGATAATAGTGCTAAAAGTTCTAAAAGAGGCACTAGTGATGAAGGTCGCAACACATATGCGCCAGGCTGTAGTCGAAACTGCAAGCCTATAGTGGTTTGATCAAGGCGTGATCAGCAGCTGGTGATGTAGCGGGGGCCTAGAATGTTTTTGAATAAAAGTAAATTTTTTTGTTATTGAAATGGACTTCTAAGAGCATTGTTAGTTGTGTAAATTGTAAAACGTGGTGTAGATTTTAGAGGAACAGTTATTATGTCTACAGTCCAATAAAGATGCATTAGTGAAGGTGATGACTAACGATTACGGCACGGTCTCATGGGAAAGTAGAGATAATGATCTAAAAAGGTGGAAATGTGCTAACCCTCAAGGGGGTGTGATGGTCATTCTTAAACGGGCGTGTCAACCCAGAGACCGTAGATTCGTTATAATCGTTTGCTTTCGACTTTAATTTACTTTGTGTGTACAATCTTTAGCGTTTGTTTTGGTGGTTGTAAAAGCTGGTTGGTAGTCTTTGTGTATCGTCTCTTGTGTTGAGGTTTCTTGGACGTTTTTCTATTTCGATGGCTTCACATATGGTACGTTTGGTCCTGTGTTCGATGCTAGCCAAGACCCTTGTTTTTTCACAATCAATTTTATGGGAAGCTTTTTGGATGTGTTAAGGAAGATGTTTTTACTTGTTTCAAGACTGCGTTACGATGTTCTTCGCGTAGAACGTTAATACGTCCATTGGTCTGTCCCACGTAGCTTCTGTCACAATTCTTACAAGGAATTTCGTACACCCCTTGTGCCTCCAACTCTATTTTTGGTTTGGCGTTTGGAAGTATTTGACCGATCTTTCTTGGGGCGGTAAATGTGGTTTCAATGTTATGCTTTTTTGAGAACTTGTCCTATTCTCTTGGTTGTCCCTTTGACGTAGGCCTTCGAAGTTGGTTTGTTGTTTTCGTCCTCTGTGGTATTTAACCGGCGTCGTGGTCTAAGAGGCTTTTTGATGATGGTTTTGAAAATTCGTTTTGCTGTAGCATCGTTTGGATTTTCAGGTCTTCTTGTTTCTTGTGGTCACCATCCGCCAGTCTTTCGGATCGCGTGACAAGTGTCTTAATGACTGACTGCAGTTGTGACAGGTGGTGGTGAGACTGAGCTTTGAGGTAGCGGTCCG